CTTGGCCCCAGCAGGTCCTGTTCTTCTGCCCCTGGGGCATGCAGCTCAACTCCCTCAGTTTTGAGCAGTGGCCCCATTCCCCTGGCACACCTTCATGGCAGCCTCACATTCTGGAACCGAGTTGACAAAGATCTGACTCTTTGAAACCTAGGAGACTGGGGCCCCACCCTTTGAGATCCAAGACATCATGGTCCCACCCTTTGAAACCGAGAAGGTCCTGCTTCCCGTGCTACTTCCAACAGTTCTGCTGATCTCCAAGCTGCTACAGGAATGGTCCTTTTCTTTTCTTGGAGAACCGCAGATGTAGCTCCTTGGACTGTTTCCTGCCTGTAGAATTCCACGAGGCACACAGCGTTCTTTCATTCTTTCTCTGTTCCCTTCAGTCTAAGCTGATGGGTTTTCTGCTGTCGTAGTTGGTTAGATCCATCAGTCACAGGTTTAATCTCTTTAACAAAAGAATTGAGTAGCCACATCCTTGGTGAACATTCTAGGACATGTGTTGTTAGTTTATACAACAGAATTTTCCAAATCTTTGTGTTCTGTTTTCATTTTGCACAGTTCATTTTTAAATCTCTTTTCTCTTGCATTTTACTATAAGCAGCAAGGAGAAACCATGCAGCCCCTTTAAGATCTTGCTTAGAAATGTAATCAGCCAGATATCCAAGTTCATCACTTACAAGTTCTACCTTGTACCAAACATTTGAACATAATTCAGATAAGTTCTTTGCCACTGCATAAAAAGTATCGTCCTTCCTCCCTTGTCCAATCACATGTTCATCATTTTCATTTAAAGCCTCACCAGAAGTACATTTAATGCCCACATTTCTAGCAATATTCTGTTGCTGGCGCCATATATATTCTCTAGGATGATAGAGACTTTCTTTATAGCTCTCCTCACTTCCTTCTGAGCCCTTCCCAGAATTGTTTTTGACGTCCATAATTCTACCAACAGTCTCTTCAAGGCAATCTAGGCTTTTACTATTAAACCCATTGCTGTTGAGTCGATTCCGACTCATAGCGACCCTATAAGGCTAAATAGAACTGCCCCAGAGGGTTTCCAAGGAGCACCTGGTGGATTTGAACTGCCGACCTTTTGGTTAGCAACCCAACGCTTAGCCACTACACCACCAGGGTTTCCACTTTTACTATTAGGCACATTAAAACTCTTCCAGCCTCCACCCATTACCCATTTCCAAAATCGCTTCCACATTTTAGGTATCTGTTAGAGCAGCACCCCAGTCCACAGGTACAAAATTCTGTCATAGTTACCTAGTGCTGCTATAACAGAAATACCACAAATGGATAGTTTTAACAAACAGAAACTTATTTTCTCACAGTTTAGGAGGCTGGAAGTCCCAATTCAGGATGCTGGCTCTAGGAGAAGGCTTTCTCTCTCCTTCGGTTCTGGAGGAAAGTCCTCCTCTCTTCAGCTTCTGCTTCCTGTTTTTTTGGAGCTCTCCATATGCCTTGGCATCTATCTCACCCTATCTCTCTCTGCTTGCTTGTTTAATCTCTTTTGACATCGCCAAAGAGATTAACTCAAGATATACCCTACACTAATCCTGCCTCATTACGTAACAAAGACAATCCATCCCCAAATAGGATTATAACCACAGGCATGGAGGTTAGGATTTACAACACATATTTTTTGGGGACATAATTCAACCCATAACAAGTCCAAATACAATATCAATGGACATTAGTGAAAATAAAACTTTCTGGTTATAAAGGCAAATATTTTAATGCTAATTGGTTTTGCCAAATGGGGAAAACATTTGGTTCTTCTCGGAGTACAGGTGGTTTTTAATTTGATGGATCGCTCAATTAAGATTTGAGACAGATTACTTTAAAGTCAGATAAATAAGTATGTCTTAACAGGTCTAATTGGTTTAAACTGGTGCCCAATTTTTGCTCTATTTGTTTGGAAATTGTGGTTCTTGGATACTAAGGGCACATGAAATTTCTTGAGAAAAAAAGTTCACCTGTGACAACTGCCATAAAAATAAAGTACAGCATATAGGTATTATAAAACCCAAACCCAAACCCGTTGCCACTGAGACAATTCCAACTCATAAGACCTGTAAAAGGGGATTTGGCCTGGTCAGGGAGCTAAAAGCTTCTCTGAGGAAGGGTTCCTTGAGCTCCGATGCAAAGGATGAGCAATAGTTAACTGTGCTATGAAGGAAGAAAGAGCATTCCAAGCAGACAACAGCCTGTGTACAGGCCCTGCCACAGAAGGAAGCATGATGAACACAGGATGTCAGAGAAGTGCAGCGTGGAGCAGGGAGGGGGAGGCCAGCAAAAGCAAGCAGGGGCCAAGCTATGCAGGGCATACAGCTTAATGATTTCCTTTATTTGAAAATCAGGTTTGCATTTGCGATCACTCTGCTGATAGCATAGAAGATGGATTGGAGGAGTCCAGAGGGGAAACATCTGTTAGGTGACTGCACTAGACTAGGCTGCAAGGCAGTGGGAGCTTGGACTAGGATGGGGAGGAGAGGGAGAGAAGTGACTGCTCTGTGGAGATCTGGGGCAGCTGACTTGGCAACGGAGTGGATAAGGGGGATGAGGAGGAGGTGTCAAGACTAGACTGAATCTTAGGTTTCTGCCTTACTGCCTCATACAATAAGATGGATGGTGGTGGGATTCTTTAAGACAAGGAACATATTTATTTATTCAACAAACACTTGTTAGATACCTAGTATGTATTACTGAGATACTTGTTGGATACCTACTATCTTGTCACTGAGAATGCTCCTTAGAAGCAAGGATGGCCAGACTATGTCTCACATACTTTGGACACATTATCAGGAGGGATCGGTACTTGTTTTCAAGGAGCTTAGTCTAGTAGGGTGTCTTAGCTATCTAGTTCTGCTATAACAGAAATACCACAAGTGGATGACTTCAACAAACAGAAGTTTATTCTCCCACAGTCTAGTAGTCTAGAAAGTTCAAATTCAGGGCGTCAGCTCCAGGGAAAATCTTTCTCTCTCTGTAGGCTCTGGAGGAAGGTCCTTATCTCCAATCTTCCCCTAGTCTAGGAGCTTCTCAGCACAGGGACCCCAGGGTCCAAAGACGCGCTCTTCTCCTGGCACTACTTTCTTGGTGGTATGAGGTCCCCCATGTCTCTCTGCTAGCTTATCTCCTTTATATCTCAAAAGAGATTGGCTTAGGACACAATCTAATCTTGTAGATTAGCATTAACATAACTGCTGCTAATTCCATCTCAATAACATAATAGAGACAGGATTTACAACACATAGGAAAATCACATCAGATGACAAAATGGTGGACAATCACAAATACTGGGAATCATGGCCTAGCCAAATTGACACACCTATTTTGGGGGGACACAATTCAATCCATGACATAGGGGATAAAGACATAGACAAATGGGTGTAACAGTGTCTGAGCTAGACTCCTGTTCCAGGTTCATGTGGGACACACAGAAAAGGGTGTGGCCAGTCCTATGGTGGGCTTGACTGAGGAACTGACCACTAAGTTGGAGGGGGAGGCAGAGGTGGGGAGATGGGAGGCTTCAAAGGTGGAAGGCTACAGAGAAACGCAAAATAGTATCTTGCTACTCAAAGAGTGGTCCCTAGACCAGTAGCATCTGTATCACCTGGCAGCTTGTTAGAAATGTAGAACTTCTGGCCCCACTCCAGAGCTGCTGAACCAGAATCTATATTTTAAATAAGATCCCTAGCTGATTTGTGTGCACATTAAAGTTTGAGAAGTGCTGGTCTACTTAAGAATTTGTTAGGCCCACCTGGGTTTACATCTGACTCTGTGACTGTTGGCTATGTGGTCTGGGCCTCTTAATTAATCTTTCTAAGCTTCTGTTTTCTCTTCTGTAAAATGGAATTAATAATAACACCTACCTCATTGGATTGCTCTGAGGATTAATGAGATTATAAAAAGTGCCAGGCTAGGTACAGGGCACTGAGTTCTTTAATGTTTTCAAAGCTTCCAAACAGGAGAGTTTTAGAAAGGTCACCCAACAAGTCTTTTCGATATGTGAAAGGAGGAACAATCTCCCTTATCACAGAAGAAATGCAAATTCTTTTACAGTAAGTAATCTTTCCCATACCCTGCCCAGATTAAGTGCTGGGGAAGATGTGAAGAAACTGGAAGCTTCAGGCACTTGCTAATGGACATATAAGGAGGCCCAACCACTTTGGTCAGCAATATAACAGCATTCAAGAGAAATCGGGCAGGTGCATATTTAACCACCAGTGACTCCACTCCTAGACATAAACCTCTGAACAAATCTCACACTGGTACCCAGAGGATCACTGTAGTATGGCTTGCGATAACAATGTCCTAGAGTTAGAACTAGGTGTGGTCCTCTTCAGACAAACATTAGACAGGACTATAAAACAAAAATAATACACGTGAGGAATGTGCTTCATAGTCCAATCAGATATTCAAGACCAAATGGGCAGCTCCTGTCCAAAAGCAGAATGAGAAGGCAGGAAAGGACAGGAACTTGTTGAATGGACACAGGAAACCCAGGGTGGAAAGGGGGAGCGTGCTGTCACATTGTGGGAATTGCAACTAATGTCACAAAACAATGTGTATAAATTTTTGTATGAGAAATTAACTTGAGCTGTAAACTTTCACCTAAAGCACAATTCAAAAAAAAAGAACTAGGTGGGGTTAAAGTGGAAGAAATCCCAAAGTTAACAGTGATTTAAACAAGACAGAAGTTCCTCTTCCACATAAAAGCCCAGGGGTCAGCAGTGTGGGGCTAAGATGCTCTATGGAAACCAAGACTCAGGCTCTTCTCTCGTGTCCCACCCCGTGGCTTCCATTCCCAAGACCATTTCGTGGTCAGTATGGTTGTGCCCCTTCCAGCCAGTAGGCAGGAAGAAAGCAAAGGAGATGGGCACACACTCTCCCACTTATATCCCGTAAGCCTGGATTCACACCTGGCCACTCCCAGCAGCAAGGGAGGCTCGAAGTACTGCCTGTATGCTGTGTGGCTCTGTGCTTAGCTAGAAACATGGGAAGGAGGAAGAATGAATATGAGGGAACAACTAATAATCTCTGTCACAGGGGTTTTAGTGGGGATCACGTGAGGGCCACAAAGAAATCCTCAAGGATACACAAGTTGAATGTATTCTCATTTATTTTGCTGAGACTGAATAAGTAACTTTAATGTGTTCAAATTTATTAATAGACATAAAGATCTGATATATAGAGAGCTATACCATATCATGGACTATTTAAACATTATAAAGGTTTCTTTCTGCATTTCCACATTATAAATTCTAAGGAATGTCACATTCCAAAAAAAAAAAAATTTTTATTTAAGAAGTTGACATACTTTTGCTAAAATGACACCACATATCAGTGGAGAATTAATGGCTCTTTTAGTAGACAGTAATGAGAAAACTGGCTCGCTGTATGGTGGAAATAAACATGGATCTCATACATAAAGGTGCATTTCAAATAGTTTAAAGGCAGGAGTGATATTCAAAATATATAGCAACCAGTGCAGCCCAGCAACACCCAATCAGAACAAGTGACTGACCACTCAGAACAGATATCAACAATGTCCCAGAGCAGCTTGTGCCAGCAAGACTCCAGCCCCATTCAGCGGCCTAATATGAAAGAAAATGCTTATCAGTTTTATTAGCTAACATTAGAAAGTGCAAAACATCTTAGCGACTTTTAAACAAGAAACCAAAAGGCAACAGACTATATGACAAAATAGTGAATTCATGTACATTAAGGATTTCTGTTCCATGAGGAACACCTGTAGAAATAAAAGACAAGGGCATTCTACGAGAGTTGCCTGCAATGCCGAAAACTGCTCTGGAATAGAGAAGCAACTCCTGTGAAGACACAAGGAAAAGACAGGACCCCATGAGCAAATGAGCAAGTCACAGAAAGGGCTGCCAGAAAGGCCGACAGGTATACGGAGAGGTTCCCAGCATTACTGGTGATCAGGTGAATGTACATTCAAACATGGTGCCACTTGACACCCGTCAGACCAGCAAAAATTAGAAAGCTGGGCAATAATAAAAGCTGATGAGGATGAGGAGAGATTAGGAGCCTCAGTGGGAGGGTCAATTACCTTTCTAAAGAAAAATCTGGTGGAACCACAGAGAAACTACCCTGTATGACCTATAACCCTATCCTGGGTACCTATGCCAGAGAACTGTTCATGCAAGCCCAGGAGGGGACACCTTAAAGGATGTTTACTGTGGCCTTGTGTATGGTGCCAAGGAGTTGGAGGGACTGGATAAGCAAAATGCAACCGGCACCCACTGTGGAATAGCAGGCAGCAGTTCAAAGCAATGAAGCAGATACAGAGTAAGTGACATGTTGAGTGAAAAAAGAAACAGCACAAGATACCACTATGGATATTAAAAGCACATTCACACATAAAACGCTGTATTTTACAAGGATACATTCATATCCAAGGACATGTAACAAATATATTAGAATGGGGGCTTATGGGAGAGGATGGGGTGGAGAAGGGGGAAAAGCCATAAAACCAGAGACCAATCCCAAGACCCCAAACAAAAAAGCTGAATGTGCTGTTATACCTTAGTGTGTGTGCACCTGGAAGGGTAAACCAGGTAGGGTGAATGGAAGGAGTCCTCGGGGTGAGGAAGACACCCATTACCTACAGCCTTCAAAAGAGCCACCCAGTTGTCTGCCTACGCTTAAGCTACTGTATGTATGAGCTTGGCCATTTATTTTCCTGCAAGGCAAGGAACCACACCAGTGTATCTGCTTTAAGCAAACTCCACTCCCACCCCCCAAATGAGAGGAAGGCCACTGTTGGTCTTAGATGTGGCATAGATCCCAGGTCTGGAATCCCAAATGCAACCCTTATTTAAATACAAGCAAAGATTCAGAGAACAGACATTCTGATGAAAGAAAGGGTGATGATGCAGATGAAAGGGTGGCGATGCAGGGACATGTTCCCCATGTGCTAGGGGCTGGAAAACTCAGCCCAAAAATGTGGCTGGAAGGCCAGCCCACCCAGGGCAGGAATGACTACCACACAACTAACCAGGCAGTTAACAGCTTAAAACCAGTGTCAACAGGAGAGAAGGCCAAAGGTCACGCCTCGATTTTGCTTTAGCTTAAAGAGAAGCTCTACCTCATTGGTAAATACAGTTTAAAAGAAAGGGGCAGATGTTCTCGCCAAGTCCAGGCTGGGCCCCCAGACAGGGAGAGGGGTTTTAGCCCCAGACCTCAATGAGGTCCCCAGATTCCATGCCCAGATCGGCCGGCAGCTCCATGCCTGAAAGCTTCGTCCCATCAAAGAAGAAAGAAAGCTTGCATCCCGAGAGTCCCATGGCCTCCTCGTAGCGGGCCATGAGGGTCTTGAGGGGAGAATCCTGGATGAAGGGAAAAAAATGCATGTAAGAACTTGAAAGAGAGGCTGAGGAGAACTTGTAGGGATGAACAGAGAACTTGGGACCGGGAGGACGAGGGACTGAGTCAGTGAAGTTACAGCCCCAAGGAAGGAAAGGCAAGTGGACCAAGAAGCCGGCACAGTCGAGTTTCTGTATTGGCTGTTACTACCTCTGGGGAGCTGGGATGAGTCCCTTCCTCCCTCTAGACCCCAAATTCCTCAGGTAGAGTGAGAATGCAGCACTCAAGGCTTAGGAGTATAGGTTCTGGGTCAGAAAAGTTCTCCAAGCCTCAGTCTCCTCATCCATAAAACAGAGGTGCGTACCCCATGATGAAGGGAGCCCAGGCTCTTGGGTGAGAATGACCCGAGCTGGAAGCCAGGCTCTCCCACTTACCAGCTGTGTGACCTTAGGCAAGTTACTCCACCTCTCTGAACCTCAGCTTCCTCACTTGTTAAACGAGGGCAACAAGAGTGCTTTCCCACATAGAATTGTGGTGAAATTTAGACAATAATCCTGAATGTGAAGTAATTATCCTTAGCACAGGGACTGGCACTTAAAAGTGTGGCTGTCTTTATTGTTAGTTTAATGGCTTTTATTGGTTACTGCCTAAAGTTCCTCTCTATTTTAACTGTTAAAAAAAAAAAAAAATGGAGGAAGAAATTTGGAGACTGAAGGGATGAACAGACTAGAGTAGAGGAACCAGCAGAAGGGGGCAGGAACTTGACCAGAGGCTCTCCCCACTATCTGTGGTGGGTGCGACCCGAGAGTATGGAGGGCAGTATCTCCAGTCAGTCAGGATTAAAGGAATCTGTCCTCCGCTAACCAACGAGGAAGATGGCGGAGGAAAGGGTAAGGGGCATGGACAACCACTTCTCCCACTCACCGGAGACAGCGAGACTTCCAGCATCTGGTGTTTCTCCTTCCCCTGCACCCGGAGTTGGAGCTGTTGGGACATCTTCGTGGCCTCTGGAGAACTTGCTAGCACCACACAGTCTGCAGGAGGCAGGGTCAGGAAGCCAGGCCTAAGCAAGGGGTTGGAAGCAGGAGCCCCTCTGGACAGTCCCAGTAGCCCCTTCCTGTGGCAAAAGCCTGAAGGTTCCACACCTCCCCATCCTCTCACCAATGATGTCAGCCACTCCAAGCTTCAGAGTCCTTGGGGTGGCAGTAGGGGACAGCTCTGTCTCTCCAAAAAGCAAGAGGATCCTGCTTGGGGATACCCCAAGGTGGGCAGCCATGTGGTCCACCACACGCTGCAGGGGCTCCGACTGGGGAGAGGGACAAGAAGCAAAGGAAGTCTTCCTGCCTCAACATCTGCCCAAGCCTCACGCCAACATCACCATCCCAAAAGCAAGTTTCTAGCCTTAGCCACTCACTGAGCTCCTTAGCTGTGAGATTCATCATATTTCCCTGGCAACGTATAGAATACAATCCTGTAAATTAGGAATCCAGGCAAGTAACACAAGGAAATGAAGCTGCCATGGGTTAGGAGATAAAAGGCAGTGATGGCGACTGTGGCAAATTGGAACTTCCATGCCCGTGTGGGCAGGCCAGCTGTTACTCAGCTCCAGCTGATTGGTACCAGGTGGGAACACGGGCCAGGGTGACTACATCTGCTTATTTTTAAGAGAAGCCAGAAATATGGACCCTTGTATGAAATTGCCATCACGAGGGCTGACAACAAACTGAGATGTTTTAAAAGCACTGTGTAGAGCAAAGAAAGTAGATGCACTGTTGATGGGGCCATGGGCTGCCATGCCAGATGCGGGGCTGAAAAAACAAAACAAAACAAAACTCATTGCCGTCGAGTTGACTCTGACTCATAGCAACCCTATAGGACAGAGCAGAACTGCCCCATAGGGTTTCCAAGGAGCGGCTAATGGATTCAAACTGCCGACCTTTTGGTTAGCGGCCAAACGCTTAACCACTGCACCACCAGGGCTCTGATGTGCGGCTAGTGCTCAATAAATGGTCATTTCCATTATCATTCGTGCTATTGAAATGGGCCATCCCTGCAAAGCTCCAGGCCTTCACCAGGAAGCTGGGGGAGCTCAGGGTGACTGAGTGACCTCTGCTGCATCTAGTGCAGTTAAGAGCAACACAAGAGGGATGCACAGGTCCTGGGGGAGGCAAGAGGGAGGGGCTCAACCTGGGGAGGAGGCCACCAAGCAAAGCCTCTGTGTGACAAAGAACTAAAGTTGGCCTTTTGTATCTGATTTCGAAAACAGCCCAAGCAAGTCAGGTGCTTTTTGTCTTTCTAAAATAGCCAGGCAAGTAGAGGATACACAGGCCCCGCACCTGGGGAACTTCAGGAAGGGAAGGGCCATGATGCAGTCATGCATATTCATTGATTGGATCGATCGTAATTATGGATTAAGGCTCCAGTCATGCATAATCACTGAAGTCCCAATGACTAGAGGACCTAGGACCCTGGAATGCTCTCTCTGGGGCCTCCTGGATCAGTGAGAACATCCATCCATAGGAGAGAGCTCAGCATGTCCCTGGGGATGAAGGAAACCTCGTGGTGCCGAGATCTCTCCCAGACCTTGCCTGATGAGTCTATACGCTTGTATCCTTTTCTGGTTATAATAAATGGATAACTGTAAGTATAGCTAATAGTCTCCATGAATTTTGTGAGCCATTAGAGAGAATTAATGAACCCACAGCGGGCAGTGAGCCAGCAGGGGCTGGCAGCACGGAGTCAATCTGTGTAGACCCAGCTCTGGGTGGCTGCTGGTCAGGGAAAGGCTGCACAGGCAGTCGATGAAGAAGGATAGAGTCCTTCCAGCTTGTGACCTGGTCCTAGGGGACTGGGTGGGGGGTGGGTGCAGCTGAAGTGTAGGGAGTTCTGCCATCTCATGAGCCTACTGCTGGTCCCGATGACCTGGCCCCCAGGGATGTTTTCACTCACTCAGGGTGGTCAGGGATGAGGTCTGACCTAACTCAAGAGAGAGGAAGTGCCCTGTGAAGGGGCTGGCATGAGGTATGGAGATGTGGGAAGGGGAGGCCTGGATCTACTTCCAGCTGGGAACTGGATTCAGGCTGCTCCTTGCCATGCAGTTAGTGATAAAGGTGGAATATGCCTTCCTTGCCCCCCTTGCAGTGCAGTTTGTGGTGTCGTCCTCGCAGCCTCTTAGAAGAAAGGATGTTTAAAAAAGAAGTGCTTAAAGAAAGCAAAATGCTTGAAGAATAAGTAGGAAGTTGGCCAGCAAGAGGGGGAAAGTGAGGACACAACACAGAGGGAACAGCAAGTGAAAGGCAGGGAGGGCTGGAGGAGTGCTGGGCAGCTTCGGAGAGCAGGAGTGTGACAGGAAAAGGAAGACGGTCCCTCCGCCAGCGAGCCTCTGCTGACTCCAGTCTCTCCACAGGCAGCTCCTGGCCCCTTTTCTAGAAGGCCCTCCAGGTACTCACCATTAGGACTGGCAATCTGATCAGGTCAGCCCGGCACCGGATTTTGAGTGGGAAGAGGCGGGGGCTCTCTGGGAGGATGGGCCCCTCCACCAGGACCACGTCATCCTCCTGGCTCTGGCGGTCTTGGCCCTGGTGCTGCTTGGGGCTCAGGCAGGAACGAAGATCTTGGAGGCGCTTGTTCACTTCCCTGGAGTGCAGACAGGAGTTGGGGTCACCCACCCTCCCAGACTGCCCCTCTACCCCAGCCAGCACCCCATGCCCTTGCACCTTAACTTCTGGAGTGCCCTCGTATGCTTCCTGCTTTTGGTCCTTGGTGGAGGTGGGGGCAAAGGAGATACGTCCTGGACCCTGCAGAGAGGAGAGGGGCAGGATGGAGGCAGAGGAGAGACCCAGCCTCACACTTCTCATCATGGGATATGGGCCCCCAGGAGCCAGAGGGAGAGTTGGGGCATCTACCAGTAGTATCTGTTCTACTGGAAGATACGAATAGGTGAGGGAGAGAGAAGACACGAGTCATCATTTTTATATTCACATGACCCAAATTTAGGGAGGAAAAGGCCAAATTTTTAAGGTAAGTTACTTCTCAGGTTAATGTCCAATAACATCCAACAGACACGGAGCATGTACTGTGTGCCAAGTATTAACTCAGGTAATCTACTCTGCAATTCTCTAGCACAGGTACCGCTATCATCCCCATTTTACAGAAGAGGAAAATGAAGCACCCAGAGGATAGGTAAGAGACAGCTGGCAAGACTGGAACCACACAGGCTGTGCCCCAAGACACTGTTACCCCCATATGTGACGATGAAACACTCCACTCCATGAGTGGTCCTCAAGGATTCGCTGTCATCCTCTGGGGTGGGCCACCTCCTCTCCCAAGAGCCTCATTCCCCACCTGAGCCTCAAGGCTCCCTGCATCCCCTCTCCTTACCCTTCCAGAACCCACCCAAGGGTCCTGCCCACGTCAGCTTTCCCCTCCAACTCCCTTCCTGCTCCTAAGGCGCAAGTGCCCCGCCTCACTCACAGAAACACCTTCTTCTTCTCTTCTTCTTCGTCCTTACCCCTCAGCTTCTTCTTCCAGGTAGAGCCTGGAAATGCGGGGTCTTCGGGTTGGGAACTGCTGGAATCTGCCATTTCTGCATCTGGGGCAGAGGGAGGGATAGTAGAAGAGGGTTAGCCAAGGGAGGGCAGCTGGAGGCCCAGGAGAAACAAATGGAGGCTTCAAGAAGGCCCTCATATCTAAGGTCAATTGATTTTTGACACGGGTGCTAAGTCCATTCAATGCAGAAAGAAGAATCTCTTCAATAAATGGTGCTGGGAGAATTGGATTTCCACATGCAGAAAAATGAAACCATACACAAAAACGAATTCAAAATGGATTAAGCACCTAAATGTGAAAACTAAAACCACAAAATTCTTAGAAGAAAAAGCAAGGGTGATGCTGTTAGGCTTAGGTTTTAACAGTGGATTATCCCATATAACAAAAGCACAAACAGCAAAAGACAAAATAAATAAACGGGACTTCATAAAAGTTAAAAAATTTGTTCATCAAAAGACTTTACCAAAAAAGTGAAAAGCCAAGCTACAACTAGGAGAATACCTTCGGAAACTATATACCTGACAGACTCTAATAACAAAATATATATAAAACTTTCACAACAACAAAAAGACAACCCAATCATAAAATTGGCAAAGGACTTGCATACACATTTCACCAAAGAGGACAATCAAATGGCCACCAAATACATTAAGAGAGATACAAATCAGAACACCAATGAGATACCATTTCACTCCCACTAGGATGGCTGTGGAGCCCCAGTGGCACAGTGGTTAAGAGCTATGGTGACTAACGGACCACAGCTACCAAGGCCTCCACCAGACTGAGTCCAGTACAGCTAGATGGTGCCCGGCTACCACCATGGACTGCTCTGACCAGGATCACAACAGAGGGATCTGGACAGAGCTGTAGAAGGATGTAGAACAAAATTCTAACATACACAAAAAAGACCAGACTTACTGCCCTGAAAGAGACTGGAGAAACCCTGAGAGTATGGCCCCCAGACACCCTTTTAGCTCAGTGGTGAAATCACTTCCAAGGTTTACCATTCAGCCAGGGATTGGACAGCCCCATAAAACAAAATGGGACTAATGAGGCACAGCAGTCCAGGGACAAAGATTAGAAGGCAGAAGGGGACAGAAAAGCTGGTGATAGTGAACCCAAGATTGAGTAAGAACAGTGTTGACATGTAGTGGGGTTGTTAACCTTTGTCATAGGGCAATATGTATACTAACTGTTTAATGAGAAACTATTTTGTTCTCTAAACCTTCATCTAAAGTGAGAGAAGCAGCACAACTGGAAGAACGTAATCAGTGTCACTGAACTGTGCACGTAGAAATTTTTGAAATGGTGTATCTTTGGCTATGTATATTTGCACCAAAAAAAAAAAAAAAGTCGAGAAGGGAGAGTGTTGACATGTCATGGGGTTGTTAACCAATGTCCTAAAACAATATGTGTACTGACTGTTTAATGAGAAACTATTTGTTCTATAAACCTTCACCTGAAGTACAATTAAAAAACAAACAAACAACCAGAGAATAACAAACGTTAGCGAGGATGTGGGATAGCTAGGACAACAACAATAACAACCAAAAGAAAAAAAACAGAAAATAACAAATGTTAGCGAGGATGTGGGGAAATTGGAACCCTTACCCATTGCTGGTGGGAATAAAAAATGGTACAGCAGTTGTGTAAAACAGTGTGGCAGTTCCTCAAAAAACTGAAAAACAGAACTACCATAATAAAAAAAAAAACCAAGCCAGTTGTTGTCAAGTCGATTTTGACTCACAGCAATCCTGTAGGACACAGTAGAACTGCCCCGTAGGGTTTCCGAGGAGCAGCTGGTAGATTCAAACTGTCAACCTTTTGGTTAGCAGCCAAGCTCTTAACCACTGCACCACCAGAACTACCATATGACCCAGCAATTCCACTCCTAGATATACACCCAAGACTTGAAAGCAGAGACTCAAACAGAGACTTGTACACCAATGTTCTTTGCAGCACTATTCACAATAGCCAAAAGGTAGAAACAACGTAGATGCCCATCAACAGGTAAATGGATAAACAAAATATGGTGCATACATACAATGGAATACTACTCAGACAGGAGAAGAAATGAAGTCTTGATACATGCTACAATACGGATGGAGCTTAAAGACATTATGATGAGCGAAATAAACCAACCACAAAGGGACATCTTTTGTGGAGGCTACACCCACAGCCAACATACTCTTGGTGGGGGGGGGCCTGATAGCAACAAGGCAGACCTCCCCAGGGATTCATTTGGAGTGTGCCAGCACCTCCACTACCTGGACACTGTTGGTTACCAGCCTACTGCAAACTGCTACAGAAGGGTCATGCAGTGGAGTCTGCTCCCATAGTAAACACTCTGTGGGGCTCCCCACATACCCCACAGCTCAGGCCTCTAAAACCAACAGGAGAGACCTCCCAGGGAGTCAGTTCAGGTCTGTCTGCTCCCCCTTTCGGTCAGTGCCGAGGACTGCTGACTGAGGCTGCTGTGTGCTAAGTGGCAGGCATCTTTAGTAGAAGCTACACCCACAGCCAATATACTACTGAGAGGGCTCTGACAAAAACAAGGCAGACTTCCCTGGAGGTCTGTTTGGAGCGTAACAATCCCTCCCTCACCCATACACTGGCACCTGCAAGCCTGCAGTGAATTGTTACAGAAGGGCCCTGCAGTGGAGTCTGCCCCCATAGTGAGCACTCTCCCTGCCTCCCTGTGTACCCTATAGCTTGGGCCTCTGAAACCAACAGGACAAAGCTCCCTGGGGGTCGATTAAGATTAGTCTGCCCCTACTTCCAGTTGGCGTGGAGGACTGCTGACTGAAGCTGCTGCGTGTTAGGAATGAGTCTTGAGTGAAGGCTGTACTCATAGCCAACAATCTACTGTGGGTACTCTGATAACAAGGCAGACCTCCATGGGGATCTGACCAGAGTGTGACACCCCCCGCACCTGGTAACTGTTGGTTGCCAGGCTATTGCAAACTGCTACAGAAGGCCCCTGCATGGCATCTGCTCCCATAGTCAACATTCTACCAGCCTCCCTGTGTACCTCCCACAGCTCAGGCCTCTGAAATCAACAGGACAGACCTCCCTGGGTTTAGTCTGGGTCCATCTGCTCCCTTTACAGTCAGCGCTGAGGACTGCTGACTGAGGCTGCTGTGTGTTAGGAAGCAGGCATCTTGAGTGGAGGCTACACCCCCAGCCAACGGCTCTGACAGCAACAAGGCAGACCTCTCTAGGGGTCCGTTCAGAGTGTGACTGCCCCTCCCCCAACCAGTAACTGCAGGATGCTGGACTGATACAAACTCTCATAGCAGGTTCCACACAGTGGAGTCAGGAGGCGGGTCACCTAAGTGGAGACTGCTCCCCAACAACCACAGGGCCACTGAGGCTCTGAAACCAACAAGACGGATCTCTCAGGGCTTCTTTTGGGGAGCGACAGCCCCTCCTCCTCCTGAAACAGAGGAACGTCTGCCTATGCTTCCCCTGAATGCCAGCTCAGACATAAGCTACCCACACTGAGCAGGGAAGGAAGCCTCAGACAAAACCAAAGGGCAACTCCCAGCCCTGAACAGGGCTTGCTGGGTGTGTTTTCTAACTAAAAATGTGATCGCAGAAACAGAGAAGGGAAGGAAGTAATAACCAGAGAAAGGGGACTGCGCTCCCTGGTGATCAGATTGATTAGTACACAATATCTCACCTGAGTGACAGTGCCCACTGGTAGACACACTGACCACAGTGTTTTCTCTGGTGTGTTTGGGAGAGGCTGAAAGCTGAAAAACAAAACCTGGAACTTTTGAATTCCAATTAAATAGGGAGGGAAAACGAATTATCATAGAGAGGGAGAGGAAATGGTAAGCAAAGGCCGAAGGCTCTGCCCGCTTAAGAATTTCCTGCAGAAAGTAGTACAGGCAAAAACACCAAATACTGGGAAAAATGAGAAAGTTAACACCCTTAAAAAATCCAATGCCTCAAGAAAAAAAATCACAAGACACACAACACAGAAACAATAGCCTATCCAAATGAACATGACAAAGGGAGTGAAAGTGTATCTAGGAATGACCAAATAATGAAAAAACGGAAGAACATAATACAATATTAAATATAACTAAAGAACTAAGGGAGAACATTGACAAAGTGCTAAAAGAAATAAGGAAAACTCTGCAAGAACAAAATGAGATACTGCAACTGAAAGGGACCACAAAAAATGAGAAACACAATAGACGGACTTATCAATAGATTTAATCAGGCAGAAGAAAGAATCAGTGAACTAGAGGGTAAGACAGTTAAAATTATAGATGTCGAGGAGCAACAAGAACAGAGGCTCAAGACAGCTGAGCACAGTTTAATGGAATCATGGGACAAGAGACCTAATGTACGCATCATGGGAATTCCAGGAGATGAGAGAAAGGGACAGAAAGAATATCTGAAGAAATAATGACAGAAAATTTCACCATCTAACAAAGGACATGAATCTACAAATCCAAGAAGCTCAAAGAACTTCAAGCAGCACGAAGAACACCAAAGACACAAGGAAAGCATTAGCCCAAGAGACAGAAAGGGCCACATAAACCAGAGACTTCATCAGCCTGAGACCAGAAGAACTAGATGGTGCCCAGCTACCACCAATGACTGCCCTGACAGGGAACACAACAGAGAGTCCCTGTGGAGCAGGAGACAGGTGGGATGCAGAACTCAAATTCTGGTAAAAAGACCAGACTTAATTGTCTGACTGAGACTGGAGGAACCCTGGAAAGCATGGCCGCCGGACTCTCTGTCAGCCCAGAACCAAAACAATTTCCACGGCCAACTCTTCAAAGAATGGACTGGACTGTGGGACATATAATGATACTCGTGAAGAGTGTGCTTCCTAGCTCAAGCAGATACATGAGACTAAATGGGCAGCTTCTGTCCGGAGGTAAGATGAGAAGGCAGAGAGGGTTAGGAGCTGGTTGAATGGACATGGGAAATCAGGGGTGGAAAGGAGGAGTGTGCTGCCACAGTATAGGAAGAGCTATTAGAGTCACATAACAATGTATGTATAAATTTTTGTATAA